TTCTGGGGCAGGGGCAGAGGCAGAGCAGGTGGACAGGGCCATCCCTGTGGCTCTGCAGGCCCCTGGGTTTCATCCCAAGAGCAAGGGGAAGCCACCGGAAGGTTGTGAGCCAGGGAGCACTGTGATCTCATTCACATTCTAAGACACTGACTCTGGGGAAGAATGTACTAGAAGGGCCCAGAGTAGACACAGCATGCCACTCACAACAGGAAAAGGTGGAAACAAGCCAAACGTCCACTCGTGGATGAACGGTTGGACAGAATGAGTTCTCTCTACACGGCGGGAAGTCCTGACATAAAAGCTAGTGAAATACTGATACGTGCTACAACTTGCATGAAGCCTGAATCATTAAGTGCAACAGGCCAGTCACGAAAAGATGTAAATATATCTATTTCATATAAATGGAATCATACTATATACATAGCATAATCATACTCTATAGTCATTTTATATACACACACATACACATACACACACATACATAGTATGATTCCATTCATACGAAAGCCTAGAACGGGCAACTCTAGAGACAGAGTAGATTAGTGGTTGCTTAAGGCTGGGGAAGGGGGAAAGGGAAGAAGGGAAGTGACAGCCAAGGGGTTTCTTTGGTAGGCAATAAAAATATTCTAAAATGGATGGTAGTGAAGGCTGTACAGATCTGTGAATGTACTAAAAACCACTGAACGGCACACTTCAAATAGGTGAAGCGTGTATGGAAAGCGTATCTCAACAAAGCGGTTTTGTTATTGTTGTTAAGTAGATGCAGTGAAGGGGCTATCACTATCTTTCAGGTAAGAGATGGCGGTGGGTGGGCCCAGGGCGACGAAGGGATGGAGGGGTCCAGGAAACTCCAGCTGCGTGTTGGGGCTGGGGGGGGGGGTGCAGTGCGGGTGTGAGAGGTGGGGGATGATGGCCACACAGGTGGTAGCCAGGCTAAGCAGGGGTAAAATCAGGCTTGGCCTTGCTGTCCCGTTCCCACAATCTTCCCCTAGCAGTATTAAGTGTGGAGCTTTTGGAGTTGCACTGATTTTTTTCTGTAATGTATATTGATACTATTTCAACAATGAGAACTGGCACTTTACTTTAGAGAGATTAAAATGCACCTTTCTGGAGGAGAGTAAGCTTGGGAGGAGAGTTTGGAAAACACAAAAGTCCTGGTACCAAAGGACTGCAAACAATGTGGGGCGGGGCTGTGGATAACCCCCCAGCTTCATTCGGTGGCTGCTTCTCAGGTGCAATTCCCCAGTGCTGGACACGGCTGGTAAATCACGGTGAAGACACATCTCAGCGCTGGGCGCACACAACACCTTTGAAGACAACGTATTTTTACCGCTGCACTCGGGGACAGCCCCTCAGAACCCAGAGTTCATCAACTCCATGGACTCTTGGGGCAGTGCACATGGTCCCAAGCTCACCTCCAGGGTCTTTCTCGTGACACCAGAGCAGCATGGACTGCGGTTCAAACAGAAGGCTCTTTCCAACCCCACTGTAAAGCTGAACCTGCATTCAGTTCAGGTCTGGAGATGCCAGCTCACACGTGGCATCTACATGCTGCGCTCGGAACTCCAAAGAGGGGACCCCCACCCACCCAGTATTGACGCTGGGTCTGTTATTTACACAGAAGGGCTTGTTGCTTGACAATTTAGATAAAAATGTTACTGCCTCTCTGCCTATGCTACAAACTCATGGCGTAAACCACTGGAGCAGCTAATGGGGTCTTCACACATCGTATCTTGTTAAAGAAGAGGGCCCTCCGCTATAGGCATCACAGCTCAGCAGCGAGGTGCAGCCACACCTGGGAAGGTAGTAGCTTAGCTGGCCTGGGCCGGGCCACAACTCATCAGCTCTCACCAACTATCCGATGCCTCATTTTTTTTTTTTTAGTGGAAAATATGAACTTCATTTTCAAATAGCAAGATGCTATGTAAATTCACTTCCTGTTTGTTCCCTAGTCCCCCCATGGTAGGACAAAAACTAGACAGTTACACAGAAAATTTTTATCTATCTACTCTGAACTTAATAAGCTACCACTATGAGTCCTCTGAACACCTTGACGCACTTGTCCATGTTTCTTAAAGTAACTGAGAAAAACGTTGTGCTAAGGGCATCAATGAGAAATTGATGTTGGGCCCTGAACGACAGGATTCCGCTGCTGGTGTACTGCTAACAGACCTGGATAATGGGGTCATCTGTTCATTTTACTATCTAGTTCATCATCCACACGTGCACTTTTAATTGAAACTTAACCTTTGTATCCGACGTTCCAGCACAGAAAACATCTCTGGAGGTGGAGATAGTATGAGCGTTTCCCTAAGCAACTCTCTCAAAGAATTCTGCCTTTAATTTTCTGTTGAGTTAAATAAGCAAACTGTGACACACTTGCCTTTTCATCTCCACTCCCCCATTTCGGCCCTTCTGGGCAGGTTCTGGGGTGACCAAGTGGAGCCTCTTCAAAACCCTAGTTCAGCCTAGAGTCACCTCCAAAGTGCTTGTTCATCGACTATTCCCCAGCTTAGCTGCCAATCACCACCAAACTCTCCCAAGGAGAGGGAGAGGGGAGTAAATGTTAAGTCTACCCAACTCATTTCATAGGTGACCTCTGAAAGATTTCAACGCAGAGCCCGGGAAAGACAAGGCAGCTTTATTAGCATGCTGAACCACGGCTGCAGCCCCCTCCCCTCCCTCTTTTATGAGCCCTTGTTATATAAAATGCCACAAAGGAAACGGAAAAACAACACCTTTGCAGTTACAAACACAAGTTCCAATGGCCAGGCCAAATCCTGGCTGCTTACCCGATGTTATTTTTAGTCATTTAAAAGGGAAACATTTCTAAAAGGCCAGAGAACAAAAGTTTTCCTTGTTTTCTTTCTTTTTAAACACACACTCACACACACAAAAAGATGGAGGTCAGTTCGCAAGCAAGCCTCCTTCCCTGAGTTCAAATTTAAAGGCAAAGGCAGCCCGGAGTCGGAGAGCTCCTTCCCGAAGCTGCTGCAATCTTCAAACAGGATTTTCAAATGTTTCTTTCGGCTTATCTAAATTCCAGCATGACAGATAATAAATAGCGACTCATTTACTAGCATCATAAAAATTTAAACAGCCTTGAAATAGTTGCTACAATACAGAAATGATCAAACCCAAGCTCAGAAGAGTCATTCCAAATAGTAAAACTACTGCCACGCAGAAACATAAAGAGACATTGTTCCAATAAACGCTCCTAGGTTATTGGATTTTTTTTTTTCCTCTCTCTTTTAAATCTGCTACTCGGAGTCAACAACTTGCCGTTTTAGCCAGTGAAAAAAGGGCTTAGTAACCCTCAGCTATCACACTGGACCAGATCTGGTGGCGGATTTTTTTTTTTTTTTTAAAGAAAGTATCTGATTTGATTCTACACAGTGATTAAACAGCTTTGTGCTCAGCGGAAAAGGGTCTTCCGACCCCTCCCCCTCCAAAAATGGCATCAAAGCAATCAAAATGGTAATGCCGGGCCTGGGTCCCCTCCCCCCGCCAACTCCACGACTTCGCCGGGGCCGCGCGCCGGGCCCCCCCTCCGGCGTGAATGGAAGCTTCCACTCCCGGACGGGGGCGCGCGGCCGGGTGCGGGGGGGCCGCGGCACCGACAGGAAGGGGTTAGTGCATTCGTCCCAAGGCTCCCGTCCAGCTCGGCGGCCCAGACCAGGCGCCGGCCCGCTGCACTGCCACCTTCCTTTCAGCAAGCCCGGGCCCCCCCGTCACTCGCGCACGCCCCCTCCCATCACTTTTTAACTTTAAAGACTCGACACGAACGCCCGGCCTCCGAATTCTCCTTCGCCAGGGTCACCGGCAGCCGCTCCAACCTCTTCCACTTCTCTCCCCTAGGCCAGAAAATCCCTCGGGGGAGGGGTTGTCCGATGGGGCGGCCCGGGCTGGGGTGGGAGCGCGGGGGCCGGCCCGGGCGGGGGCGCGCGGGGGCGGGCCCGGAGCTGTCCAAGTTTGGCGCTGGCGGCTGCGGCCGGCATTCCGAAGGAAGCGCGATCGATGGCCGGGGGCGCGGCGCGGGCGGGGGCGGGGCGCGCGGAGGGAGGGAGAGAGGGGGCAGCGGAGGGAGGGGCGCCACCGCCCCCGTCCCCGCCAGCGCGGTGCCCCCAGCGCGCCATTGGCTGCGCCGCTCAAAGTTCTCGGCTCCGGGCTGCGCGGGGAAGGGGCGGGCGTGCAAGTGCGGGGAGGGGGCGCGGCGGGGGAGGGGCAGCGGGGGAGGGGCGGGAGCCAGGGGCGGGGGCGCGCGGCCGGCCGGGCTCCGGCGGCGGCATCTGTTCGTGGTGCTGAAACCCCGAGCGCTGAGCTCAGCGCAACTAAGTCACAATGGACAACTTTTCCTCCCCGGAGGGGGCCGGGAGGGGGGTGGGCGGCCGCGCCCCCGCCGCGAGGGAGCTTCTCAGGTGTCCCCAACTACACCTAACGCCCAGAGCCCAAAGTTGGAGCAGAACTGGGGGGTCCCGGGGGCGCCTTTCTTTTGTTCCCCGGGAGCTGGCGTCAGGTTCCAAGAATAAAAAGTGAAGCTGGGGAAGTGGAAGGTCGGGGGGAGCCTCGAGGAACGATTTCAAAACGAGGTTTCCCACGGAACCCAGAAATCGCTCCCAAGGAGTTTGGTGTCCAGGCCCCCACGGCCGCCCCCCTCCGCCCCCACGGCCGCCTCAGCGCAAAGCGGGGGACTCCGAGCCGGGAGAAATCGCCACGTTCCAAAAACATGTCCACCACCTCAAAATGGACGCCGGGCCGCGCGCCGCCTTTTAAGTGAGCTCCTCTCTTCGGCCCCCGCCGGGCCGGCTCTCCCCGCCGCCTCGGAGAACCCGGCTCTTTCTTTCCAGGAAAGGGGAGGGGTGGGGAACTTTGAGAACTGGAGACAGACCCCTCTGGGAGTCTGAGCATGCGGCGCCCAGGCTGGCACTTTTAGGGCGCCGCCAAAGTGCCCGGCTACCCTCCCGCCCCATCCCGGGGGGGGCCGCGATCCCCTCGCTTACTTGTTTGTCGCTGATCGCGGCGATCCGCGGCTGCCTTTCGTGGAGCTGCTTCTTGAGGTCGCCGTTCTGCGGAAACACGGAGGAGCGGGCTCAAGCCGGCCGCCCGGGGTCAGGTGCGCCCCAGCCCCGCGGGCCGCGGCACCCCCCACCAGCAACCCCGCGAGCGGGGCCGGCCGCAGCGTACCCCAAGTTTCCCGGGCCGCGTCCCGCACGCGCGGCGGCCGGGCAGTGCCGCGCGGGGCCGCTTACCTGTGGCTGCCGCCTCATCGGGGCAGCTCGCGGGGCGGGGCGGGGGCCGAGGCCACCCGGCGGCGCGCCCCGAGCCGTGCAAGTTTGCAGGCCGGGGTGCGTGTGCGAGTGAGTGTGAGTGTGTGCCGGGGGAGGGGGGAGGAACAAAGAGCCAAGTAAACACGGCGAGTCCGTGTCGAGCAAAGCTCATAAATATTCAAGTCGCGTCCTAATCTCCCCAACACACACACGCGCACGCCGAGCCCCGCTCAGGCTCCGGCCGCCACGCCGCCGCTCGCCAGCAGCGATCGCCAAAACTACTTACGCCCACCGGGCAGGTTCGCCCCCGGCGCGGGGCCCGAGGGGAGGCCGGAAAGGGGGCTGTTCGCACTCCCCTCCCCTGGGCCGGCTCACGAAGGGGCCCCCTCCAGGCACCCTCCCAGTCATGCAGACCCTACATCGCTTAAGACGCCAGGTTCGGGTCCCACGCGCCCTCGATCCCCCAAACTGCAGGACAGCGCCAGGGACGGGCGAAGGGGAGCCCAGAAGGGGGTCTGCGCGTGTGCTCCCTCCCTCGCCCCCCGCCCCGGGGCAAACTCCAGCCTGGAAGATCCCGAGACCGGGAAGACAGGACGATGGGCTCGGGTCCTCCAACCCCCTCGCCCCGCAACACACTCCCCGGCCCCGAGCCCGGCCCCCGGCCACCTACCTGGTGGCGCGCGAGTTCCACGGCGAGCGCCTCGGGCCGGCTCTGCAGCTCCATCCCGGCAACTTGGGCAGCACTTTGCGCTCACTTTGGCCCGGGCTCCCGGGAAGTTGCGCGGCTTCGCGGGAGCCAGAGCGGGCGCGGGCGGACGCAGCCTCCGGGCTCGGTGGGGGGGGACAAGAGCCCCCTCCCCCACGGCCGAAAGGGAAGGGGGCTGGCGAGGGGGAAGAAAGGCTTCCGGGCGCCGCGGCGCCGAGCCCGCGGCTGCCCCAACTCCTCAGGCTGCCCAGCAAGTTGCGCCGGGTCCCCGGGCTGCCGGCGCGGCCCGGCGCATGGCCCCCCGGCGCCGGGAGCCCAGCGCAGCCCCGCGCGCGCCCGCCCAGCCGCCGCCGCCGCCTCCCGCGCGAGCCTCCAGCCGGCAGGGACTATATTTCCTCCGGCGCGCGCGCCTGTATCTCACTGGGCCTCGGAAAAGTTGTGCCTCGGCACGATGCTAATTCGGCAGTGCCCGGATGGAGCGGGCCGGGGCGGCGGGGGGCGGTGCCGGGACCCTCCGCCCGCTGCGCCCCGCCCCTGCTCGCCCGCGCCTGCGCACTGCCGCCCCGCCGCGGCCCGGAGCCCCGAGCGGAGAACAAAAGTGGCGGCGGACGGAGACGCACGTTCGGGGGCTCTGGGGGCTGCTCGTGCCGGCGCTCGGAGAGGGGCGACCGCGGGGTCTTCCTCTCTGTCCCCAGGTCCATCCCGGGAGACGCGGGGCCCTCACTCCCTGCGCCGTTAACGCCGAGTTGAGGACACTTTCCGCTGGGAGGCTGCCAGTCCGTGTTTCCATTTCTCTGATCCTCGGCTCCCTCCTTTCCCCGCTCCTCCGACTCCCTCTGCTATTTTATTTAAATTCTTCCACCCCGTCCATACCAGCGCCGCGACTTGGGAGATTAAATTAGTCGCGTCGCAACATTCCCCCGCCGCCTGATGGCCTCCGTGTTGTTTAAACAGCAAGAAAATTGATCTCTTGGCTCTTCCTTTAATGATTTTTTTTTTTTTTTTTTTTTACACTCACAATTAAACAACAGATGTCACTGGACTTTTTAAGACTGTTGTTAAGAGTCGTAAACAGGCCCGGTCAATGCGACCTAAAACAATTATAACTACAGCTGCGGAGATCGCGTTTCAGAACCCCCAACCCCGCAGCCAGGAGGTTAATGTCCCAGAGTCACTGTCAACCACCTCGGGGCTGCCATCTTCATTCAGGTCTGAGTGCCGGGTGCCCAGTTGGCAGCAAACTGGCACGTTTCAAACACGCTGGGGAGAAAGGGTGCCGTCATAAGTCAAAGTAAACTTTTAAGCTGTTAAGTCGTTTTAACTTCAGATTCCTCTCTGGCAGCACAAAAAATACCCAAGCAAGCACCATCGACAAATGTCCCTTTCAACATATGCCAACAGGTCACACATTTCTTTTGTTGGCAGAAGTTATTGGAATTCCCCCTTTTCTTTCTTTCTTTCTTCTTCTTTTTTTTTTTTTTCAAGAGAGGACCCCAGTGGTGGTCTGCTCTCTGTTAGAGGATTTGTCATAAATTATGTGCTTGGGACCCCCAAACACAGATGGCCCCTGATCCCATAACCCAGCACCCTTAACCCAAATTAGTTAACAGAAACTTGCAAACAGCGCTTTAAGACTCCACAGGAGACTGGCTGGAGTGATGGCTCACGCCTGTAATCCCAGTATTTTGGGAGGCTGAGGTGGGCAGATCACGAGGTCAGGAGTTCGAGACCAGCCTGGCCAACATGGTGAAACCTCCTCTCTACTAAAAATACAAAAAATTAGCCAGGCGTGGTGGCGCAAGCCTGTAATCCCAGCTACTCGGGAGGCTGAGGCAGGAGAATTGCTTGAACCTGGGAGGCAGAGGTTGCAGTGAGCTGAGATTGCACCACTGCACTCCAGCCTGGGCAACAGAGCAAGACTCCGTCTCGGAAAAAAAACGAACAGAAAAGACTCCACAGGAGAAGCCACTACCCTCCGGCCAGCGTCTGCCTGAATCTGTGTGGGCTGAAGACAACCTGAATATCCTCTGTTGATTTAATTATGTGGGTTAATACGTGGATTATGGTAAGGATCATGTACATGCCCCTCTGTTTTTTGCATAGTTACTCACTTCCTGTGTGTGTCTCACTCTGTCATGCAGGCTAGTGTGCGGTGGTGAAATCATAGCTCACCACAGCCTCCACCTCCCCTGCTCAAGCAATCCTCCTACCTCAGCTTCCCAAGTAGCTGGGACCACAGGCACATAAGCCATTACTGGTTAATGTGGATGCAAAACTAGCCCGTGTTTGAAGTGGCCGTGATCCCTTTGGTTTTGCCCCAAGCAGGGAGAAGCAGGGTTCCTCAAATGCAAAACAAAGGCGCTGACTTGGGGTGCCGCAAGAGGTACCCACTCCTCCCGCTTCTGGGTTTAGCCCGGGTCAGGGCGGTGGCCTCCCTCCTTAGTGCTTTTGCTGAGCTGAACACCAGCCCAGGAAAGTGGACTGCCCTGGAGACCGGTGTTTGGAGAGCCAGAGAGAAAGCGTGCAGAAAGAGGATTCCTACTGTAATCTCTGTAAATGCCACTGGCTTCTTGGTAAAAATTCAGAGTAATTTTATCAGCCACGTAGGTAATTAAATCAACAGAGGATATTCAGGTCGTCTTCAGCCCACACAGACTCAGGCTGATGCTGGCTGGAGGATAGTGGCTCCCACTATGGAATCTTAAAGCACTGTTTGCAAGTTTCTGTTAACTAATCTGGGTTACAGTTACATCTACTACCCTTCTGTTTTTTTGCATACTCACTTCCTGAGTGAGTCTGTCACGCAGGCTGGCTCACAGTGGCTCTATCACTGGCTTACCACAGCCTCCACCTCCCGTGCTGAAGCAATCCTCCCACCTCAGCCTCCCGAGTAGCTGGGACCATAGGCACACCACCAGGCCCGGCTAATTTTTTTTTTTTTAAAGAAATGGGGTCTCACTATGTCGCCCAGGCTGGTGTCGAACTCCTGGGCTCAAGCAGTCCTCCTGCCTTGGCCTCCCAAAGTACTGAGATTCCAGGCGTGAGCCACCATGCTTAGCCAAAGAGGAAGTTCTTGTGAACCAGCCCAGGAGTCCTGCTCTCCGTGATGAAAAGCGTGCATTTTCCTGAGCACATCCTGTGCGCCAGGCCTCCCTTTGCCCATGCTGTGCCCTCTGTCTGGGATGCCCTTTCTCAGAACTCAGGTTTTGAATATCATTTGCATCCTCCAAGATGCACTCCGAGTGCCTTTTCTGGGAAAATTCCCCTATTTTCTATTCATAAGTTCTTTACCCTTGCTCCATCATCACAGCAATGATGGTGAGTGACAATGAAGAACTCCCTTAGCAGAGGAGGCATTCTGTCCCCTAATGTAGGCAATTGTTTTCTCTTTTTTTTTTTTTTTTTTTTTTTACGGGGGCTCGGTCTGTCTCCCACGCTGGAGTGCAGTGGCCAGATCTCAGCTCACTGCAAGCACCGCCTCCCGGGTTCACGCCATTCTCCTGCCTCAGCCTCCCGAGTAGCTGGGACTACAGGCGCCCGCCACCTCGCCAGGCTAGTTTTTTGTATTTTTTAGTAGAGACGGGGTTTCACCATGTTAGCCAGGATGGTCTCGATCTCCTGACCTCGTGATCCACCCGTCTCGGCCTCCCAAAGTGCTGGGATTACAGGCTTGAGCCACTGCGCCCGGCCGGCAATTGTTTTCTAGCCCACTGGAGCCGGAGCCAACTCTTGTGGGCAGAGCACGGTCTTCGTGTGTTAAATGATGTCCCAGAGTGCCTTGAGCTGAGTGGGTGCTTACTGGATGAATAAGTGAGTGAGGCAGTGAATGAATGAATGAATACTGAGAGATATATTCCATTTGGGGGGAAGGTAGACTGTTGGTGATGATCATAGAAATGAGCAGTGTCTGCAGCTAATCTCAACATCCACATTTCTGCTCACCTACATGGTGTCAAGTGGATGGAGTGGAGGGGAGTGGGGCTTGAAGGTGTGGGTTTGAGACTTGAGTCCACCCTTAATAGCCTCATGACCTACGGCAGGTTACTCAAGCTCTCCTAGCCTTCCTTTCTTTTGATATGAGGTTGGAATGTATCAAACTAACTATAGTTACTCCCAGATCAACTCGGCTCCTCCTGCCCCAGACGTTGGCCACTTGCTCAGTGGAGAGCCTCGATCGCTGTCCATCTGTGACTTGGCCTGCCTGAAGGTGAGGGCCAGCCTTCAGCCCACCTCTGCAGCATGCCTGTAGTGGGGGAGTTTGTATCAGCTCCAGCACCCAGATCCACTCCTGTGGACCCATGGAGGAGTGGGCTGCTCCCTGCTCTTCCAGCTTCTGAGTAAAGTGTCCTGGGGCACAGATCTGGCCTCCAGTGGCCAAAGGCTCAACACAACTCAGAAATCCAGAGGGAGGTCATGCTTCATGCAATGAACTTGGACCAGCTACAGACAGGATTCAGGAAGGAGCCAGCAAACGAATATCTCCCACTTCCTTGACTGGTTGGAATGCCCCAGGGCCCAGGGACCACGACCAGCCTCCTGCAAAACAGCCCATACCACCGAGCAAATGGCGCTCTTTCACACATCTTCCTGTATATTTTAAAAAGCAGGCAGCCCAGGCTGGGCGCGGTGGCTCATGCCTGTAATCCCAGCACTTTGGGAGGCCGAGGTGGGCGGATCACAAGGTCAGGAGATTGAGACCATCCTGGCTAACATGGTGAAACCCCATCTCTACTAAAAATACAAAAAATTAGCCGGGCCTAGTGGTGGGAGCCTGTTATCCCAGTTGCTTGGGAGGCTGAGGCAGGAGAATGATGTGAACCCAGAAGGAGGAGCTTGCAGTGAGCTGAGATCACACCACTGCACTCCAGGCTGGCCGACAGAGCAAGACTCCGTCTCAAC